CATTACAACTGTTTATTTATTCAACCATGAATCATCCTTACTCTTAATTCATTAAACATATTTCAGTAGAATATCTTTCATTGGCCAAAACTAGATCAAGTGTTCCATATTCATTAGCCAACATGCATATCAACATCAATGTTGGGATACATGTACAGTTTGGTTATGGTTACATAATGAATATTACAGTTGTTTAAAAGGGCAACTCACACATTTTGTAATAACCATTACAACATTTAATAACTTATTACAAAATGCAGGGAAATGTATTTTATATTGCGTTCAGGCTGTTGATTACAGAATGCAGCAGATTATTACAACATGTGGGTTTATTACATAATGACGTGAAGATGGTCTTGAGTCGTTACATAATGTGTTGTTTACAGGCCTTTTCTTTTATTCTTTCCTTGTCCTTCTTTTAATGAGTATTTTGATAACTGTTACACATTGATAGAAAAAAACGAATTAAAGGTTTTTTTAACAGAACATGCATTTCTCCTCATTGTGAACATATACTGCACTCATGTTCGGAATATATGGTACGTGCATGGTCTTTTATAAATCTGAATATATACTACATACATGTCCCCATATAATTGTGGATATATAGTGCATACATGTCCCCATATAATTGTGGATATATACTACATACATGTCCCCATATAATTGTGGATATATAGTGCATACATGTCCCCATATAATTGTGGATATATACTACATACATGTCCCCATATAATTGTGAATATATAGTGCATACATGTCCCCATATAATTGTGGATATATAGTGCATACATGTCCCCATATAATTGTGGATATATAGTGCATACATGTCCCCATATAATTGTGGATATATAGTGCATACATGTCCCCATATAATTGTGAATATATAGTGCATACATGTCCCCATATAATTGTGAATATATAGTGCATACATGTCCCCATATAATTGTGAATATATAGTGCATACATGTCCCCATATAATTGTGGATATATACTACATACATGTCCCCATATAAGTGTGGATATATAGTGCATACATGTCCCCATATAATTGTGGATATATAGTGCATACATGTCCCCATATAATTGTGAATATATAGTGCATACATGTCCCCATATAATTGTGGATATATACTACATACATGTCCCCATATAATTGTGAATATATAGTGCATACATGTCCCCATATAATTGTGGATATATACTACATACATGTCCCCATATAATTGTGAATATATAGTGCATACATGTCCCCATATAATTGTGGATATATAGTGCATACATGTCCCCATATAATTGTGAATATATAGTGCATACATGTCCCCATATAATTGTGAATATATAGTGCATACATGTCCCCATATAATTGTGAATATATAGTGCATACATGTCCCCATATAATTGTGAATATATACTACATACATGTCCCCATATAATTGTGGATATATAGTGCATACATGTCCCCATATAATTGTGGATATATACTACATACATGTCCCCATATAATTGTGAATATATAGTGCATACATGTCCCCATATAATTTTGGATATATAGTGCATACATGTCCCCATATAATTGTGGATATATAGTGCATACATGTCCCCATATAATTGTGAATATATAGTGCATACATGTCCCCATATAATTGTGAATATATACTACATACATGTCCCCATATAATTGTGAATATATACTACATACATGTCCCCATATAATTGTGGATATATAGTGCATACATGTCCCCATATAATTGTGGATATATAGTGCATACATGTCCCCATATAATTCTGAATATATAGTGCATACATGTCCCCATATAATTGTGGATATATACTACATACATGTCCCCATATAATTGTGAATATATAGTGCATACATGTCCCCATATAATTGTGAATATATACTACATACATGTCCCCATATAATTGTGAATATATAGTGCATACATGTCCCCATATAATTGTGGATATATAGTGCATACATGTCCCCATATAATTGTGGATATATAGTGCATACATGTCCCCATATAATTGTGAATATATAGTGCATACATGTCCCCATATAATTGTGAATATATAGTGCATACATGTCCCCATATAATTGTGGATATATACTACATACATGTCCCCATATAATTGTGGATATATAGTGCATACATGTCCCCATATAATTGTGGATATATACTACATACATGTCCCCATATAATTGTGAATATATAGTGCATACATGTCCCCATATAATTGTGGATATATAGTGCATACATGTCCCCATATAATTGTGAATATATAGTGCATACATGTCCCCATATAATTGTGAATATATACTACATACATGTCCCCATATAATTGTGAATATATACTACATACATGTCCCCATATAATTGTGGATATATAGTGCATACATGTCCCCATATAATTGTGAATATATAGTGCATACATGTCCCCATATAATTGTGGATATATAGTGCATACATGTCCCCATATAATTGTGAATATATACTACATACATGTCCCCATATAATTGTGGATATAT